AAATCGCTGTAATTGTGTGATTCGTGTTAATGGTGGAAATACAGATTATTAATTTTCTTATCTTTACAATAAAAATGAGCAAAATCATCATTTTCGCCATTTTTTTGTCATTTAATTGACGCCGTTAATTTGAGTTTTTTCCCACAATTTGCAAAAACATCAATTTTAGTTTATTTTAATTAAATATAGGGGTAAGCGGTTAAATAAAACATAAGCATTAAAGTAAGAATTCGTCCTGGAAGACTGGATTTGGTAAATATTGCTTAAATAATTTTTATTTCAAAAATATTCACTTGATCCCTAGACACTTTTGATGTGTGTATTTACAACTAAAGGCTCTGACTGTACTGCTATTGTATTGTTAGGTGATATTAGTTGTGGTGATGTACATAAATAGCTTTTGCATGAAATTTCATTGTTGAATTGTACATTTTCAGTGAGATACTCCGCGTCATTGATTCTATGCAACTAACTGATACGGCCAAAGTAGCAACCCCCGCTGACTGGAAGGTAAGTTTCCAAATGCGCGCGCGGGCGTGCGTGCGTGCGTGCGTGCGTGCGTGCGTGCGTGCGTGCGTGCGTGCGTGCGTGCGTGGTGCGTGCGTGCGTGCGTGCGTGCGTGCGTGCGTGCGTGCGTGCGTGCGTGTAAGAAAAAATGTCCCCACCTATAATAATAATAATAATAATAATAATAACGCACACACTCATCATAGCCCCGCACTAGGGAAACCCTGTGTCGCGGGTGCCATGGACACATACATAGACAAACACAAATTACACCCAAACTCACGAGAGAAATAAATGTAGGCCATACAAATGTTTCTCCCAGCCCGGGAATCGAACCTGTCCTCTGCGTGGCAGTCCGGCATGGTAACCGTTCGGCCACGGAAGCAGTTAAAATGGTATATAACCTATAGAGCGTTAAAATGCTATACAAAGCATCAATCGCGCAACAGTCTCCGTTTGTTCGATTGACAGCGCGGTTGTCAATCATGCAGTACTATATAATAATAACTTGTAAAAATTACTGCAGTAAAGTGTAAAAACAGGATAGATAGATAGATATGCTAGTAAATGCTCTTGAGTCATCCATGGACACAAACAGCTCGTTTACTGAAGTGAGAAAACGTAAACGTGTTTCTCGCGTTGTTTGTGCAACTTGTAATAAAAAAAGAAGGCGGAGTGGATCAAATAAATTAAATGCCAATACTGATTGTCAATGTTATTGAAAGAATCTGATGCAATTTCTTATACAAAACATATTACATGGTCTAATCCCAGTCCGCAAATAACTAACAGAGTTGATATGACATCTCAGCATAATGCAGGTACTTCCAATAAAATTATTGATAATGAGACGAATCGACCGATGCGTATTGGCCGTTCTATCAGGCGTCTGATGTAACTCCTTTTGTAGTCCATGTTCAAAAACAAACTATCTGATAACAGTGACACCACTTTACCACCCAATAATATTTGGGCGATTTTTAAAGAGAAGAGCAGTTAAAGGCATAGTAAATTATAGTCTAAAGCGAATAGGCCGAAATCGTATTTCTTTGAATTTCGTTAATTACACCGATGCAATAACTTTATAATGAACGAAAGTCTCATTGGTCTCATTGCAGAGAAGTACTAAGCCTTTATACCAACCTTTAATGTCAACTGAATGGGAGTGGTAAGAGGAGTCCTGCTTGATTGGACTGATGAAGAAATAATTTGTAATATTTCTGTGCCTTTAGGTTTTTGTCCGATAAAAAAACTAGAAGAATTAGACGAAAACTTACCAATAATAATAATGCAAGGGAATTTGTAAACACAGGTACCATTGTTATAATGTTTGACGGGCAAGTACTGCCAACCCGAGTATACATGTGCTATACAGCTCTACCTGTTGATCTGTATATCTATCCTACGGTGCAGTGCTATAATTGTTGCAGGTTCGGTCATGTAAAAAACAATGCCGTTCCACACCAAAGTGTTATAAATGTGGACAAGGACATTCAGGTGACAGTTGTGTCATTGAGGAGGAAGACTACTGGTGTTGCTCATGTAATGGTCATCACCGAGCAATAAATAAAAAATGTCTTGAGTATAATAGACAAAAAGGTATAAAGGAAACCATGAGCAAGAACTGTATATCTTATATGGAAGCTGTTAAGTTGCATCCGCCTATATCTAAGATGTCGTAAGCCGATGCCTTACTTCAGCCATCTTCTCCCTCTCTCAATGTCACATCATCCAATAGGCTTCATTCTGGCGCTGCGTCCACTAATAATGTATCTCAATATCAGTCGTATAGGAAAACAGTGTTCAAGAAACCTTGGACACCACCTACTTCCTCTAAAGGTTACGATCGCAAAGCCCACAATGAAATTGTAAGAGGCCCATCTCTACCAGCATCTAGATTAATTATAAATAAAAATAATAATAATAAAAAAGATATTAGTAACCAGATATTATTAATGCATTAACAAAGTTGTTAGCTCAATCCAATATAGTATCACCGTCCAACGTTGCATCAGTCATACATGCATTATATCAGTTACCTTGCATTAAGCACAATGAATCACAAAGCTACAGTAATTCAGTGGAATTGTCGCAGTATTAAAAACAAGAAACATGAATTAATTACTCTAATTAATAGATATGAACCTTTTATTGTATGTCTCCAAGAGACATGGCTGGACTGGTTTAAGGTCTGACGGGTCTGATGGGTGTGGCGGTGTCGCCTTATTCATCAAAGATTGTTTTACAGTTAGCACTATTCCTCTCCCTTATTTAAATAATGATATCTTTGCTCTAGCTGCAATAGTAAATAATATTTATTACATTTCTATATACCTCTGCCCGTTCCAATAATGATATATTTAACGATCTTAATCGACTGTTAAACTCCCTACCAAAACCATTTGTATGTTTAGGAGATTTTAACACTCACCATATGACTTGGGGCTCTTCTATTTCAAATTACTATGGGGAACAATTATTAGAATTATTGGATAGCCATAATTTATGCATTTTAAATACTGGTTCACCTACTCGCATTACAGGTCTTAGGGAAAGCTTAAGTGCCCCTGATTTAGCTATATGTACACCTGATCTTGCTTCTGATTTGTTGTGGTTCCCCAGTGATTCTACTTATGGCAGTGACCATTATCCACATTGCCTGAAACATAAGATTATTAATGCGGACTGGGACTTATTTAAAAATAATGTTGAACAGCTGATACAAGTCTTGCCTGTAATATCATACACCAACGTGTCAACCTGTTCTGTGTTCTGTTAGGCTGGCCAAACTTCTATTTGAAGCAGCTGACAAAACCTTTCTGCTGAAGTCTGGTGGCTCTTGTAAGATTCCTTCCCCACCATGGTGGGATGATGAGTGCACCAAAGCAACAAAAGAGCGGAAAGAGGCCGTAAAGCAATATAGTGGTTTTATGACCGATAACAACTTTACTAAGTATATTTTATTTGAAGGATGGCAAAGATTTTGCACCTCATTAGAATCCCAGTGTAAATTCCTCCATTGTTTGGCAGAATATCAGAAGATTTAGATCTGGTTTTCATTCCACTCAAAAACATAGTCTTTCTATTATTCTTGCAGAACAGATCATGGATCGCTTGGCCCCTCCCTCAGTTTCAGAACAGTTCATCCCCCCACCACTTCCATTTCTGCCATTAACAGATAGTAACAATAACAATGACATAAATGTTAACTCTTCCTTCACCATGAGCGAGTTAAAGGGCGTTCTGTCAACTGTTACAGATTCAGCGCCAGGTGAGGATGGGATTCCATATTCTTTTCTTTCTAATTCAAATAGTGTTTGTATAGAATACTATCTTTCTTTAATTAATACAGCAATGTTCGCTAGCGAAGTTCCTCAGTCTTGGAGAACACAGTCCTTAATTCTTTTATTGAAACCAAATAAATAAGCTTCAGTTCCGTCATAATACAGACCAAAAGCTTTAGCTTCTGTTCTAGCTAAAATTTGTGAACATTTAGTTAAAAGTCGCCTTGAATGGTTCTTAGAACACAATTGTTTATTAATTAACGGCCAAGTCGGGTTTAGAAAAGGCAAAAGTACTTTTGACAGTTTGTCAACCATTACCACAGACATCAGATTGGCTTTCTCTAGGAACGACTCCTTAATAGCTACATTTCTTGACATCACCGCGGCATATGATAACGTAAATATAAAAAATTCGTAAAAGTAAACTAGAGCAGCTAAATGTTCCAACCCTTTTAATAAATTTTATTTATAATTTATCAGTGATAACTATAACGTTGTACATTTAGGACAAAACGAAACTATAAATAGAACATTTTAGAAAGGTTTGCCTCAAGCCTCGGTACTGAGTCCAATTTTATATAACATTCATACTTTTGATTTAAAATGCTCTATTAAACAATGTGATGTCCTTCAGTACGCGGACGATTTACTTTTATATACATTTGGACTGATAGCCATTCTTCAACATTTTGTTGAAGAAATAAGTGAGCATCTATTTGGGGAAATAAAATGTTTAAAAAATTGGCTAGATAGAAACGGGTTACATTTATCACCAACCAAAAGCAATGTCATTTTGTTTTCTAGAAAACGTTCTCCACCATTAGTTAATATATCTTATGGTGATTCGCCTCTCCCACTGAAAGACCATACTAAATTCCTGGGGGTAATTCTAGACCCTAAACTTCCACGCATTCGTCATTCTCAAAATGTCACAATGAGGTGTGAACAGCTTTTAAATATTTTAAGATGTCTAACCGGTGCTTAGTGGGGAGCCCATCCAGTCCTAGATTATGGAACCTTCCTCCTACATCCAGGTAATGCTGCTGCCTTAGGAAAGTTGAACAATGTCCAGTCCAAAGCCTTATGATCACAGGCGCGAGGAGATCTAGCCCAATTAATTGCTTACAGGTTGAATGTTGTGAACCACCCTTGTCTCTGAGAAGACAGTACCGTAGCGAAAGATTTTTTTTCCGTTGTCTCCAACTAGAAAAAACGCATGACACGTTACTTTCAACAATACAACAATTAGACTCTAAAATTAACACTTCTACATATTGGACCATAAGAATATTCCTTGTTTACTTGAAAGTTACCGAAAATTTAAAAACATCAACGCTCCTACTAACTAAAGCTATCGTCTTCCTTTATATGAATGTAGTTACAGTTCTCTTCACATAAACTTCAAGTTGAATACAACATAGGAATTGAAAAGAATGATCTTAATCAGAATGTTGAATTTAACTCTATTGTTAATAGTAAATGGGCTGATTGGGAATATATATTTACAGAGGCATCCAAACATTCTGATAATAGTTGCGTAGGTGTTGGCGTTTACCATTTTCAATATAAAGTGGTTCAGAAGGTCAAGTTCCCCCGGAATCGACCGTTCGTACGGGAGAATGCTATGGCCTTTTTAAAGCTGTTGAATATATTCTTCTCGTCAAGCTTGAAGACTGTTGTATGTATTTTGTGACTCAATGAGTTCATTACAGGCCCTGT